TGTTCTACAGTTGAGGAAACTAAGGCTCAGAGAAGTCATAATTTGTCTGAGGTAACATTGTGCCATGAAACTGATCATAAATGCCAGTCCTGTCTGACTCCGGAGTCTGCTCTTAGCCATTATGCAAGTCAGACACCTGTTCTTTGCCTAGGTCTTAGTTCCCACAGCTTCTTCCAGAGGCCCCTTCAGGCTGGCCATGGGACTGAGCCACAGCTGCTGTCCTGGTGACTTTGAACCCCAGACTTCACTTTCACTCTTTGTGGAGGAGAGGGGCTTTGTGGGGAGGAGTAGCACAGTCCTAGACTAAAAGGCAGAACACTGGGCTACTCATACTGTTCTGTCTGGGCACGGTGATCTCTGTCTCAGCAGGTGTCTCTTGTACTGGGTAACACGCAATTGATAATATGGGAAGAATTGGCCTACTCCTGGTGCCCACCAAAATTAGTATACTTTTTTGAGATTATATATGAAAGACATCTGAATAAAGGATTAGGGCATTATTAGATTGTTTATGGGTCTAAGCCCTGATCAATGTTCCAGCCTTAATTCCCAAAATTTCCCACCAAACTTGGAAAACCTCCAAAGTATCCCTGCCTCTCTGCCTCTGTTCATGCCTTTCCACATTATCTGAAAAGTTTTCTCATCTTCACATACCATAAGTATACCTATCCAGAAGACCTAGTTCATAAGCTTTCTCCTAAGAGGTGTTCATGGACAGCTGTCCTTGAATTGATCCATTTCTCCTATCTAATCTTTGACTGTAAGCTCTCAGGACAGGCGTGACTCCTAGCCTTGCCATAATTATTGGTGTATAGGACATCTCCTCTAGGAGGACATGTTGGTTTTTGCCTGTTTAACATCTTCTCCCGCTTTTGGTAATGGCAACTTTATTTTCCTCTGGTGAACCATCTTCCCTCACTTTTAGTCCATATGATTTGGATGGGGTTAACCCCACCTTAAAATCCAGAGGCAGCCATGTGATTTAGGCCTTTTCAATCAGAGTCACTGTGAATGGTTCTGTGAAGGGCAGATGAACCATTGGGAATTACTTTCCTGGAAAGCCTGGAACGGGCATCTCTAATTGCTGTGATTGGATGCAAACGTGGAGCTATGAAGTACTTTCACTTGGAAAAAAAATCCTGAGAATGCAGCTACCCAAGAGCAAGTTATAGAAAGAGATGTAATTTTGAGAATGACATTATTGGAAACTCTTGGATCTTAGATTCAGTGATTCCTGAAGTTGGAGGTAATCTGCCTGGGACAAATTAGTTCTGCCCCCTACCCACATTCTTTTTTTACTACTTAAGCTAGTTTGAGCTAGGTTTCTGTAATGTATAAGTGAAAGATATGGACCCATCCTCAATTTGTTTATAAACTTCAGGAGGACAAAAGCCTGATCTTTTTAACCATATAGCTCCTCAGTACCTGGTAAGACAGAGGGTGCTCAAGGTATGACGTTTGATGGATAGATGCCCACCTCATTTAATCCCACTTTTCCTGAGCACCCATGATGAGCTAAGCTGAGCAATGGAACCACAAGGAATAACTGGAATAAGTGCTTGCCCTTGAGGAGTTCTGAGTTTAGTAAAAGGAGAAGGTATGAAAACAAACATATTATAAAATAACCTGGGCTATAATCGAAATTTGAACACATTTTTTTGGGATTCAAGAGGGTTGGAGATTTGGGAGTTGGGAATGAGGGAAAGCTTCTTAGAGGAGGTGATTATCTGAGTCGAGTTTTGTTTTGTTTTGTTTTTCAGCTGGGGTCTTGCTCTATCGCCCAGGCTGGAGTGCAGTGGCACAATCTCGGCTCACTGCAACTCCTGCCCTCTGGGTTCAAGTGATTCTCTGACTTCACCCTCGCTAGTAGCTGGGATTACAGGCATCCAGCTAATTTTGTTGTATTTTTTAATAAGGAAGGGGGTTCCACCGTGTTGGACAGGCTGGTCTCAAACTCCTGGTCTCAGGTGACCCACCCGTCTCGGCCTCCCAAAGTGCTGGGATTACAGGTGTGAACCACCGTGCCCGGCCCTGAGTCAAGTTCTTAAAGAACAAAAAGAAGTTCCTAGGCAGAGAACAGCTGTTCCAGGGATGAGGCATTCCAGGCAGAGAGAACAAGATTATATAATTAAATTAATACGATTAATAATATCTCCATCTCCTCTTCTTCCTAGGGCTTCTTCACAATATCCTTCCTCTCTTCCTCCTCCTCACATATGGATGGAATCACCACAGTGATTAAGAGCACAGGCTCTGAGGTCTGAAAGATTTTCGTTCTGCAACTTAACCACCCATATGACCTTGAGCAGAATCGCTTATGTCTTACAATTAAGCACAGTAGTTCCATTTGCCTCGTAAGATTGTTTAGAACATTAAACAAAATTACCAATATAAAGCGTGAGCCTGGCACAAGCCAATTCTCAAGAAATGTTAGCTGCTATTATTTTTATTGTCATAGTTAAGAACCTTTAAGCACCAGGGAACAGAAAACCTAACTTGACCTGGCATAAACAGTAAGGAGATTCTTTATGGTACATAATGGGGAGTGTTGAAGTAGAGCAGGCTCCAGGCATGGAATAATTGGGGCTCTGACTCCATTTCTCTGTAGTGCTCCCAGCTCTGCCCTCTTCTTTGTACTGGCTCTATCTGCAGGCTGGCTTCCCTCATTGTCCAAAGACGGCTGTGTCACCATGTCCTGAGCAACTGTGACAACGTGATTCCTTGTTCACATTCATCATAACAGAGAAAAGAATCTCCTCCCCCAAACAGAAATATAAACCCTTTCTTTCAATCTGTTTAGGCTAGCTTAGGGTATGTGCCTGCTCCTGGACCAGTGACAGTGACCAGGGGGATTCCCTGTGTTGATTGGCTTAAGCTAGATTCCTGACGCACTCACTGGTGGCTATAATTGACTTAGACTAATTGGGATCCAACGAGATCTACCTCTGGGATCAGAGATTGAGCCCCCACTTTCTCCTGATCACATGGCTGCATCTTGGCAAAGGGAGGATTCTGTTAGAGAGAAGGAAGGAATAACTGGATGTTGGCTGGACAGTCAACAGCATCTTTTGTGATGATTCCTGTTGCATTTTTTTGCTTGCTAGTTCACATGGGTCTTTTAAGGTCATAGCTCAAATGGTTCCTTCCCAGTGAGGCTGACAATGGAACCAGCTACAGAGAATAACACAAGGTTCCCACCTCTCTCCCTCACTCCTCTTCTCTGCATTTCCTGTTGCCCTCATTCAGCATTAGTTTTATCTAAAGTTTTATCACCACCTGACACGTCATACTTTTAGCTTTACTTGTTTATTATGTCTCCTCCTTCTAGAATATAAATTCCATGAGGGTAGGTTTTGGGTTATTCAGTTTTGTACTTTTTTTTTTTTTTGGAGATAGAGTTTCGCTCCTTACCCAGGCTGGAGTGCAATGGCGCGATCTCGGCTCACCGCAACCTCCGCCTCCTGGGTTTAGGCAATTCTCCTGCCTCAGCCTCCTGAGTAGCTGGGATTACAGGCATGCGCCACCATGCCCAGCTAATTTTTTGTATTTTAGTAGAGACGGGGTTTCACCATGTTGACCTCTCGATCTCTTGACCTCGTGATCCACCCGCCTCGGCCTCCCAAAGTTTTGTACTTTTAATGTCTACAAGAGTCCTGGCCCACAGTATGCACAACATAACAATTTGTTGAGTGAGTAAAGTCTTCTAACCAGAGCCAGACTCCTTGGATCTTCTCAGAGGTTGTCACTCAGCTATGGTGCCTGAGAATGGTCTCAGCTTTCACAGTTTCCTTTCTCCTCTTTCTGCTCTGTTTCTCTATTTGCCCCTCGTCTATCTCTCACTCTCTCTAATATCCATCTGCTGAGTAGGCTCGTATTTGTCATTTCACTTTCTTCCTACACAGCATTGATTATAAATCTTTTTCTTATCCCTTTTCATGCTTACTACTTTTATTCTCTATATGCAAAATATTAAATATTTTGTGTTCAAGCTAAAAGACCTTAGTGACCCTTATATCCTGCAAAGATTTAAGACAGAATGTCTCATTTTTTGAGAGCTTCATTTATGTTTTACATATGTGTTTGAGAAATTCATAATGGAGGGTGTTACTGTAGTGTTTCTGCGTCTACCATTCCATGGCTTCCTGGATTCGTATCCTTTCTTTTTTTGAAAGAGGATCTAACTCTGTTACCCAGACTGAGTGCAGATGTGTGATCATGGCTCACTGAAACCTTCACCTCCCAGGCACAAGTGATCCTCCCACCTTAGCCTCCTGAGTAGCTGGGACTACAGGCCCACACCACAACACCCGGCTAATTTTTAATTTTTTGTAGAGATGGAGTCTTGCTATGTTGTGTAGGCTGGTCTAAAACTTCCGGGCACAAGTGACCCTTCCACTTTGGCCTCCCAAATGTGAAATTACATCTGGGATTACAGATGTGAGCCGCTGTGCCTGGGCCTGGATTTGTATCCTCTTTGAAGTCTTCTTTGGTATGAATACTTTTAAATTTTAAGAGAAAAACCTCTGCTTTCTCCCATACCACTTCCACCCTAAAATCTTTCTGCCTCTAGTAAGGAACATGTAATGAGATGAGGTTTTCTTAGGTGATGTTTTCTGACTCTAGGACTGGATGAAGGAACAATGATAAAAATAATAATAGAAAACATGTATTTGCCTAGAACTTTATAATAAACTGTGACTGTTGTTCTTTTATTAATTATAAAGTTAATATGAGCTTACAAAATATTATAATCAAGGCTCTGCCTCCCAGGCCAGAGTGCAGTGGCGTGATTTCAGCTCACTACAACCTCTGCCTCCTGGGTTCAAGCGATTTTCCTGTCTCAGCCTCCCAAGTAGCTGGGACTATAGGAGTACACCACCATGCCCAGCTAATTTATTTTTAGTAGATACAGGGTTTCTTTTTCTTTTTCTTTTTTTTTTTTTTTTTTAGCGAAGACCAGTATGGTCCAATTCCCCTTGGGAGAACACCACAGCCACTAGGATAAATTCTTGCACATTTACTATGTCGGCTGTGCTTCTCATTCATGAATTCGCCTTGCCCTGGGAATTAACCATGGCCTTGTGGCCTGCGTGACCCAGGCTGCCTTTGTCTTGCACAGCTAATGAGGGTCTGATGGGTGCCTCAACACCCCACCCACTCCTAGACCATGTCAGCCATGTTCACATTTTCCGAACGAGTTGAAGTGCCTTGATCTGTCCGCCGCCGCCACCACCAGTGCTGAGTTTTCCCACGTGGTTTCGCTTCTGTAGTGCTGCTGCCTTGCGGGACTGTGTGGGCAGCACCTCCAGCCTGGGCCTCACTCAGTTCCCAGGGTATTCAAAGACAGCAGCAGCTCCCATTCCAGTCCCGACGCACATGGACACTACGCCATATGCCCTCTTCCCACGGCGCTTCAGCTCGTTGAGCAGTGTGATGACCTGTCGTGCCCCAGTGCAGCCCAGTGGGTGCCCCAAGGCCACTGCACCCCCCAGAGGGTTCACCTTCTCAGGGGGGAGTCGTAGCTTCTCCACACAGTAGGCAGCCTGGCTCGCAAAGGCCTCGTTGATCTCAAAGATGTCCACGTCACTCACAGTCAGCCCTGCTTTTTGTAAAGCTACCGGGATGGCATAGGCAGGCCCGATGCCCATGATGTCAGGTGGGACCCCAACCACTGCATAGGACCTCAGGACCCCAAGGATGGGAAGGCCCAACTCTTCCGCCTTGGACCTCCGGGCCAGCAGGATGGCAGCTGCTTCATCACTCACCTGGCTAGAGTTTCCAGCTGTGGTAGAACCGTCCTTCTTGAAGGCAGGCTTCAGTTTGGCCAGCCCCTCCATGGTGGTGCTGGGGCGGATACCCTCATCCTGGGTCACAGTGATGCTCCTCTTGGTGCCCTTGTCATTATGGACCGTGGTGGTCACAGGAACAATCTCAGCTTGGAAACAGCCCTTGCTCTGGGCTCTTGCTGCCTTCTGCTGGGAAGCCAGGGCAAAAGTATCCTGCTTCTCCCGTGAAATGCCAAACCGCTCAGCCACATTCTCAGAGGTTATTCCCATAGGAATCAGGCAATCTCTGGCCTTCTCCTTCTCCATCAAGTGCGAAGTAATATTTCCAGGGTTCCCTCTGTCAGCCAGGGACATGGACTCCACCCCACAGGCCATGCCAATGTCATAAGACCCATTTCTGATGCCACCAGCTATGCTGGCCACTGCCTGTAGCCCCGATGAGCACTGTCTATTGACAGTGGACAGAGGCACAGTCTCCGGGATGTCACTCAGAAACTGGGCGATTCGGGCCATGATTGCCCCGGCCCCGGGCTGCAGCACATTCCCGACACAGATGTCCCCCAGCTGTTCCGGCCGCAGATTCACGTCCTGGAGAACCGCGGTCATGACAGCCGAGAGAAGCTCGTCGCGGGTGGTGTCCTTGAAGCCGCCGCGGCCTGCCCGGCAGATGGCGGTGCGCCGTCCGTGCACCACCACCACGTCCGCGGCCGAGGCCTGCGGGTCGCCACTCGAGCAAGGCGCCGCCTGCAGCGTCCAGCCGGGATGGGGCTGGCCAGTCAGGTGGCCCAGCACTACCTGCAGCCTCTGCATTGCGCAGCTCGACTCTACAGAACTCGATACAGGGTTTCACCATGTTGGCCAGGCTTGTCTCGAACTCCTGACCTTAAGTGATTTGCCTGCCTTGGCTTCCCAAAGTGCTAGGATCATAGGTGTGAGCCACCGCATGTGGCCTACAATTTTTTTAAATGGGGTTACATTACATCATTGTGTTATTTGGCTTTCAGAGACTGAGAAAGATTATCGAAGAGATATGGCCAGGAGGTAGAAGAGCCAGAACTAGAACCTGGGCCCTGTCTTCCCAAAGCCTTTGCTCTTCTCAGTGCTCCTATTCCAGGCATTCGACTTGGCCTTTGCCTCCCTCTCTGATGATGTGAACATGTAAGTGGGTGTTATTTGTTAGGCTTCCTTGATGACTCAGAATAGCTGCCTTCCCTTCTGAGGTGGGGGATAACCCCCAGGTAGGTGCTGCCCACCCAGGAGTCTGTGGCTTCCTGCCTTCTTCAGTTCAAGGGTTTATCAGATAAGGCAGAGCCTTAAAATGCTCATATTTCCCGGAACACACAGTTTGATTTGACAAGCACAGGCTACATAGACTGACCGGAGGACAGGGAGTGTGTGGTCTTGAGTAAACAGCAGTGGAGACTGGAAGAGTCCAGGGCTAACAGCCTCTTCCTCCAGTCCAACATCAGTACCCCCAGGGCCTTAGTGTTTACAACTAGTGTCCCCAGAGAGGGGTCCCTCCTCCAGCAAAAAGTGAGCTTTAGAAAGCCAGATGGTCTCAGCTCTCACAGGCTTCCAGGAAACCTTGACAATTCTAAGAAGACCCCATTTCCTGCTTCACACCCAGAGCCTGAGTCTTTGGTGGGGAAAGGGAGGGAGGCCCATGTCACCCCCTGCTCCCTCCACCTACAATCCTTGCCCTAGGGAATCCCTCTGTGTGTACAACTTCTCATAGAGGCAGCATGCTGTGGGGTTCTGAGAGGAGGCCTCTCAGCTTATCTAGACTCTAGGATTCCCTCTTCTCTGGGATGCCTTTCACACCCATGTCTCCTAACCTAGCATCCTTCTGTTACTCCCAAGCTAAACACAGGCTCAGAGGTGAACAAAGTGACCTATAGCCCCCAAAGGCATTTCAGTGTGGTTATGACATTTAATTAATCAATGCTTCCCAGTGTGGAAGTCATATAGCTTTGGTAGGACCGAAAGTAATTTAAAGTTTCTACATGAATATCAGCATTAAATAATATTTAATTACCTCATTTTTCATTCCTTTTCAATGCTTTTGATTACATCAAGAAGAATGTTTCCATTAGGTACTAGTAGTTCTTCGACATCTCTCTGATACCAGTAAGACTCACCAAGAAAAAAAGGAGAGAGGGCATACATAAATAATATTAAAAATAAAAATAGGATTATAGCAAGCATTTTAAATATAATTTTTAAAAGATACCCTTTAAAAAGCAACAGCATTGCTCACACCTGTAATCCCAGCATTTTGGGAGGCCAAGGCAGGCGGATCACCTGAGGTTGAGAGTTTGAGACTAGCCTAACCAACATGGAGAAACCTGTCTCTACTAAAAATAAAAAAACAGCCGGGTGTGTTGGCACATGCCTGTAATACCAGCTACTTGGGAGGCTGAGGCAGGAGAATCGCTTGAACCTGAGAGGTGGAGGTTGCTGTGAGCCGAGATCATGCCATTGCACTCCAGCCTGGGCAACAAGAGTGAAACTCCATCTCAAAAAACAAAAACAAAAGCAACAGCATTGTTTACATGTAGAAACAAATCTCATAAAAGATGTATGCCTAGTTTTTATCAAGAAAATTATATAATTTTGGTGAAAAATATAAAGTAAAACCTAAACAAATAAGATCCAGCGTGGATAGGAAGAAGACTCAATGTGATAAAGATGTCGGTTCTTCCAAATTATTCTAGAAGTTTAATGCAATCCCAATCAATATTCTGACTGTGTGTGTGTGCATGTGTGTGAAATTTTTCTAGCTGATTTTAAAACTTCCTTGGAAAAGCAAAGAGAGCTGCTATTTTATATTTTATATAGGATGGCCAGGGAAGGCCTTTCTGAGGAATGATGTGTGAGGAGTGAAGCACTTGACGTATGTTGAGCCAAGGCTGTGAGTCAGCAGCGTGCTTGGAATGTTCCCAGAATGTGGTCAGTGTGGCTGACTGAATGAATGTCAGAAAATGAGGTCAGAGAAGTGGCCAGGGGCCAGATGATGTTGGGCCTTGTGGACTGCGGTAAAAACTCCAAAATTTACTCTGCATTGGGAGGCCGTTTGATTTTTTTAAGCAAGGAGTGATCCAGTTTAGTTTAAACATTAAAAATGTTTGAAAGGGCTGAAACTATTAAGCATGTGTGGGTTTTATGGAAATGCAGTAAAAACTGTAAAGGGGACACATGAATGACTGAAATTTTGAAAATTCTGCATGAAGTAATTCCTTGAGTCACAGATTTGGTCTTTCTAATTCAGCTGAGCCCAAACAGAATGGGAAAGGAATCTGATTTCTTAGAGCTAACACTGAGAAATGTGTGGGAGGGGCAGGCCAAGCCCAAATCTTCTTCCTGCTGCTTTGGCTCATGGCAGATGTCCCAGGGAATCCCCCCAAGGCTGGACCTCCAATTACAGCCTCCCAGGGAGTAAGTCCAAAAAGCAGCTACTCTGAAAATCATCACTGACCTCAAAACTAGATTTAAAGAAGGCTAGAGCTTAATGGGACTCCAGAGAGAGTAATAAAAATAAGAAATTATAATAATGCTGGCATGTCCCTAAAGATAATCATTATCTTCTTTCAAAAACTGTTCCTTCTCTGGCATTCCCTAGTCCTGTAAATGGCACATTATTCACACAGTCAACCAACAAAGTTTTATTAAGCCTGTACTACATGTCAGTATTGCATTCTCTCTAGCAAACAAAATCGACATAGGCTCTGCCCTCATGTAGCAGCTACCAGTTTGATAGAGGGAGAGAGAGAGTAAATAAGTAAGTTATTATAAAACACTTAGCACTGTGAAAGAAATAAATAGGGTGATGTGGTAGAGCAAGGATCAGCAAACTAAACAGAGTTCAAATACGGCTTACTGTCCTTTTTTTGTAAACAAAGTTTTATTTGAACACAGACATACTCATTGTTTATACATTGTCTATGCTTGCTTTCATGTTACAATGGCAAGTTTGAGTAGCTTGTAACAGAGTCTTACAGCCTTCAAAGCCTAAAATGATAGTTACTACCTGGCCATTTACAGGATCAGTTTGCCTACCACTATTATAGAAGAGAATGGGTTCAGGGTTAATGACAAAACAAACAAAAACAAAATAAGATAATGGGGGAGCCTGTGTCCCAGTAATGTCCAATAGAACTTTCTGAAATGATGGCAGTATCCTATATCTGCTGTCTGTTATGGTAGCCACCAACCACATGAACTACTGAGTGCTTAAAACGTGGCCAGTAGCTGAGGAACTAGAATGTTATCTTATTTATTATTTTTTTAGTTATTATTATTATTATTATTTTGAGATGGAGTTTCTCTCTTGTTACCCAGGCTGGAGTGTAGTGGCGCAATCTCAGCTCACTGCAACCTCCGCCACCCAGGTTCAAGCAATTCTCCTGCCTTAGCCTCCTGAGTATTGGAACTACAGGCACGTGCCACCACGCCTGGCTAATTTTTGTACTTTTAGTAGAGACAGGGTTTTGCTATGTTGGGCAGCCTGGTCTTGAACTCCTGACCTCAGGTGATCCACCCGCCTTGGTTTCCCAAAGTGCTGGGATTACAGGCATGAGCCACTGCTCGAGGCCAATTTTAATCATTTTAAATGTAAATTCAAACAGCCACATGTACCTAGTGTCTACTGTGTTGGACACTATAGTTCTATCCAATTACTCAAGACAGAAACGGGGGGGGTCTTTACTGAATCTTCTTTTCTTATTCACCCTTCTCCTAAGTATCTCTTGAAGTCTCAATAATCCAATACAAACTAAAGTCGAAATGTACGTTCACTATAATTGCAGTTGTGTAAAGTGTGTACAAGGATATGCAGCAGTATGTGTCACATATTGAAAGCTACTATTGTTATTATTTTATTAAATGAGGAGGCAGGGTGGGTGATTTTATTTTCCTCTTTCAACATTGTCTTTAGTATTGAATCATTATATTGATTAAAAATCGGCCAGGTGCAATGGCTCACACCTATAATCCCAGCACTTTGGGAGGCCGAGTGTTGGATCGGTTTGGATCACCTGAGGTCGAGAGTCAAACTGGCTGGTTCACCCTGACCAGCATGGCGAAACCCCATCTTTACTAAAAATACAAAAATTAGCTGGGTGTGGTGGCGCATGCCTGTAGTCCCAGCTACTTGGGAGGCTGAGGCAGGAGAATCACTTGAACCTGGGAGGTGGAAAATTATATATGCCCAGTAGTGGGATTAAAAAATAAGAAAAAATAAAAATAAAAATCTGAGATAAGGCTACGCTTGGGCTGAGCCATATGGTCTGGAAGAATGTGCTGGATCTAAAGAGGCTCAGGGGACCTGAACCACAGGGTTTCCATTTCTATGGACTTTCACTGGCCTGGGGTATTCATGTGACTCAGCTACTTGCACATCTATGTGGTTGCTCCATTTTCTCAATAATAGATCTCCTCACAGCTCTGCTTTCTCATAATTTCTTTGTCTTTTCTTTTTCTTTGTCTCTTCTTTTCTTTCTTTTTTTTTTTTTTGAGTCAGATCTGCGTCTTTTGCCCAGGCTGGAGTACGGTGGCGTGATCTGAGATCACTGTAGCCTCTGCCTCCCAGGCTCGAATGATCCTCCCACCTCAGCCTCCTGAGTAGCTGGGACTATAGGCATGCATCACCATGCCCAGCTAATTTTTGTATTTTTGGTAGAGATGGGGTTTCACCATGTTGCTCAGACTGGTCTTGAGCTCCTGGGATCAAGTGATCTGCCTGCCTTGGCCTCCCAAAGTGCTGAGATTATAGGTGGGAGTCAGCACTGGTCTTTCTTGTAATTTCTATTTGTTCATCCATTGCTCATGATAGTTGTCCCACTTCCCTC